TCTCTTCGGTCCTGAGATGGCCGTACTCTCTGCTTCTGCTTCCCTCGCGCGCTGGCGCTTCGCGGACGCTTCCGCCTCCTGCCTGTACCATTTCCTCATGAACCATGCCGCCCCATCCTCGACCTTGTTGTACCACCCCTCCGGGTCCTTGGCGCTCTCTTTCAATTTCCCCCCTTCCTTTTCGTCTCCCATGTTGAAGGCCACGAGGTCTTGTCCTAGACGAGACACCCAGTCGCTCTCCTGCCCGCCCCGGTATCCCACGCCCCCCGCCATCGCTCCAGTGTTGGCCATCGTCCTGCGCGACCCCGGCTGGTGTAGAAAAACATGATGCGAAGTACACACCGACTGGCGTACACTAGACTGGCCCCGGAATAGAGATCAAACCCACGCCATCCATTTTGTCGCTCTTTCTTCTCTCTTCTTTTACCTCGGTTTCTGTACCTCTCATCACACGAAGCATTTTTCTCTCCCCCTTGATTCCACCCTCTCCATATGTATGTTCGCAGAACAAGGACACCAACACGGGCGATGAAAAGCTGACCGCCAAACAGCTGGGAGACTACTACACCGAATTGACCGCGGACTTCCCGATCGTGTCCATCGAAGACGCGTTTGACCAGGTTCGACCATTTCCTTTTTGTTTTTTAACGAAGCACCAGAATGCAACGTCTTGAAGATGACGTTGCGTACGAGTTGTGTTGCTGTTGGTGGTCGCGATGTCGTCGTCGTGGTCAGCCTTGACTTTTTTGGTTGTAGAAAACGTCCGCCTACTTAACATGACCCTTTGATGAGGCTTGGCGTTTTTGCTTCCTTTTCGTCCTAGATTGCAACCCCCGAATGGCTGCTATTACTGCGAATGAATCTAATCCACCCGTCGTTTCATCCAGCACCAAGCATGCCTTTTTGTTTTTTTCTGCGCTGGTCTATTTGCGTGTTCTGTGACCTTTTTTTTTCGTTCTCGTCTTTCGTTATTGAAATGCGCCGCCTATGGCTCACCTCCCCCACTGTCTTCCTCCGGCTAGCAGTCGCTGCTTCCTTCTTCCTTCCTCGGAAACCAAAGGAACGATCTCATCATTTTTTTCGCTTCTTTCCCTCGTCGAAGGACGACTGGGCAGGGTGGATCGATTTCACGGGTAGCGTGGAGGACAAGATCCAGACTGTCGGTGACGACTTGACGGTGACGAACATCAAGCGGATTAAGAGGGCCGCTGACGAGGGTGCCTGCAACGCCCTCCTCCTCAAGGTGCTGCCTGGAACACATACACCATTGTGTTGCAATATTGTCATCGCTGTTTTGGCGTTATGGCCGTTTGTTGTTGTTTTCGGGTTGATGCCGCTGCTTGCTACATACCTACCGTGTTGTTTGCTTCCGAATGGTGGAACATTGGTTAAAGTACGCAACCCTCTTTGGCTTTTCACGGCTGTAGGGCGATTTTCGTGGGTACTTTTTCGATGGTGGATTGAAAGATTGGCACGGAGAGTGCACCGTGTCGACATTAACCGCGAAATGGATACAGAGATGTCGTGTTTGTTGACCAGATCGGCGGATATGTATTGGGCTTGGTCGTGAAGCTATTTTTGAATGGGCACATTGGTGTGCTAGACCGGTGGCTGGAGGGGACATCGGACGTACGTGAGATGCAAGGAAGCGACGGTATTACGTAGATTGTGTCCAGGCTAGTTTTCCCACGCTTGCAATGGGCAACACGGTTCGCGTTCACAGGACGAATTTCGCCCGGGTCACATTCTCTCGTGAACTATCACAGCAAACGAGTACCTGATACACGTCCTCCGCTCCTACCTCTGTCTCTCCCTCTTTTTCTCTCCCTCCCCATCTCGCTATCTTCGCTTGTATCGTCCTCGCTCCGAACCTCCGTCGCCGTTCCCTTACTCGCACAACAGGTGAACCAGATCGGATCCGTGTCCGAGTCTATCGCCGCCGTCAAGCTTGCCAAGCAGAACGGCTGGGGGGTGATGACCTCGCACCGGTCCGGGGAGACGGAGGACAACTACATCGCCGACCTGGCGGTGGGCCTGTGCACTGGTCAGATCAAGACGGGGGCCCCTTGCCGGTCGGAGCGCCTCGCAAAGTACAACCAGGTTGGTTGCTGTTGGTGGTGTTTGTGTGGTGCTGACTGTGTTGTAAGCCCAGCCAAGTACATGCAGGTTGATTGCTGTTTGTGATGGTTCGTGGTGGTGATGCTGACTATATTTAAGCCAAGCCCAAAAATTCCAACGACAGCAGCAGTCCTGCAAATGCTGTCCTGCTGCTGTCGTCGTTTGGGCCGATGCTGTTTGTTTCGTGCGCGGACCAGACGAGCTCGATACCTGTAGCGTACGTTCACCGCCTGTGTCTCGGGTCGTGGGGGTTGTCCTGGCCAATCCACTGCGCACCCGTGCGCTCGTCTCTTCAGAGGTCTCGTTGGTTATCCGCACCAATTTCGCGTGGACTTTGTGTACCCGGTAGAATGGTTGGAATTTTTCCCTCACTCGTTCCCCTGCGGTTACCTCTCCATAAAACGTGGATGTTGATTGAAGACGTACCCGTATGACTCATGCATGCGTTCGATGCGATCGTTTTCGTCGAGAAGAGAAAACCACGAGTGGCATTACTGTGGTTTTGTTTATCTGACCCCTGCCTTGACTATCTGGTCACCCCCACCCCAACCCCTTCCTAATGAAGCTCCTGCGGATCGAGGAAGAGCTCGGCGACAAGGCCGTCTACTCGGGACAAAACTTCAGGAAACCTAGCTGGATGGCGTAAGGGTTTCGCTCCGTCTAGCCGGCTCGGTTCCGGAGGTGTTGGGGAGTTTTGTCACACCCAAAAAACAATTTTGTTGCGTTAGGGAGGGGGTGTGGAGAGACGAGCCTGGTCCCTGTCACGCTCGTCCCTATTTTCGTGTTTGCTTGCTCGCTGGCGCCCCTTTGGTTCTCGCACGTAAGGCGAGAGGTGTGGAAGGTGGTATTTTATTGTCAAGGTTTTGGGGCGTTTGCGCTTAATGCCATGGTAAGTGGGTTATTTGATGGCAGAGAACGGCGGTGCTGTCGGTGGTATTGGTAATTGTTGGAGGTTTGAGCATTCCTCGACTTTTCAAGGCAAAGTGGTCGGCGTCCGTCGCCCAGTCTGTAGCCGCCGTTCGTTGCTGTGGTTCTTCCGTGGGAAATCGTCACCACGAGTTTGCCCCCACGACATCCATGGTGCGGCGCCGATTCACGAAGTACAGAGAGAGACCTCTTGCTCCCGGGATGATTCGGATATCATGCCTCAGCCCGTTGTCAGTTTCGTTGCCCACTTTTGCGGTTGGTGGGCCCCGTCGAATGGTTGGGTGCACACGTTGGCTCAAGAACAACCATCGCACGCATCGTGTGAAGGTTCTTCATTTGTAGATTCATAATTTATCGTAGAGTTTAGAGTCTTGAGCCTCAAACGCCGGCCTCATGGTCAGCGGATCGGTATTGCTGTGAGGGGCCATGTCTCGCATAGCAATTCTCTGTAGCGTGTGGTGCGAGAACAAAGTGTTTTCTGGCTGGCAGAGTCAGTCATGGATCAGCGCAGGCTCTTCTTGTGTTGTCTTGTTTCTTGGCCTGTGGTAGACCGGCTGTGTACAGGCAACGCGGTACGTGCCACCCACTTTTCGCATGTCTCCCCATGCCAGGAATGAATGGTACGATCTCAGTAGACCTTTGCTTTTCTTTCTCGCATGCCAACAACGACTGAGCACGTTTTCCACTCCGACCGCCCCCGTGTCGTGACGGAAAATGAAATCTTGATGACCTTTGCCCCAGTTCTACACACGGCAAAACGCCGGGAAATCTCCAGGGTGAAATCACGTCGCTATCGCTAGGAAAATGTGACGAGAGACCACGAGGGCTCAATCAGTGAACTAGGGCGAAGCGGGGGTCTCATTCGAAACGACAGACGCTCGCTAACAAACACAGCCCCTTTTGACCTTAGACGCATCCAGTTCCGACACTGGACTCTTGCCGCGTTTCGCTGATGCTAGCTCCTAGAATGACATCGGGTGCGGCACGACTCCTGCTCCTCCCAGCGTGCAGGTGGACGTTGAAAAAGAACCATACGGGCGGTGAGAACCCTTGCGGAATGCCGACGAAGATCAACGGTGCGCTCACGCCATAGATCGTGAAAAGGCCGATCATGAGAAATAATGCGGTCAACAGGGACACAACGACCCAAAAATTCGCGAACTTGATATTTTTGGCTGCTTTCAACAGAGCTGTAGCGATCCTACCGTTCCTACCACCACGCTATTGGCCCCCTCGGAACGCTACACGCTGTTCCGCAAATATTTAATCACAGTCCGCACAAGGGCAGTACCGCTCTTCAAGATGATGGAGTCGCAGAACACGATCAGACCCAGAAACGCTGCCACGGAGAGTTTTCTGGTTGGCCAATTTTTTTTCAGCGCCGTTCTGTGGAAAGGCGAAAAAACCATGGTCGACCGATGACGTCGACCATGGTTCTGAGGTCACTTTTCGGGGAAACTCGAAAAGTTCAAATTCGCCGTGATTGACAAATTGCTGGCATCATCCATCGGTCGCGGGAACCGCCGCCGACCACACCGTCCTGTGTCCTGGGGGAGCGAGTTTACTCCTGGCTACACCGACCATAGATACCTTGGCTGGGTTTTGAGCCTCCATCCCCGCCCTTCTTCTTGTATTTTTTTCGTCGTACCCACTTGCACCCGCACGACGACGGACGGTCTTCGGACAAAAAGAAGCGAGGCCCACAGCAGAGGGACAAACCTCGACGGGAAACATTCGCCGCGGGAAACACCGACACACGTTCACAAATACGTCCTTCCCCCACACACGAGAGAAGAAGAATTTTCTGCATTACAGCCGCGTCTTTACTACATTCGGAGTAATCGAGAGAGACAGATATATTTTGTCATCAATCAACACGGTGAAAGTGCCACCACCGTGGTTGACGCTTCGGGTAAAACAAGTGAAAAATTATGTTGTCTCATTTCAAACAGAGGATGGCGCGGTCAACCACGGCTGCTGTATCGTCATCACGTGCTGCCAGCTACCGGTGGTGCTACGTTGAGCAGGTGGACCAGGCCGAGCCCCTGGCAAACAGGAGCAACGGGTGGCGATACAGGGGGCCTCGAGGTGTCACCTATCGACGGCAGGCCGTCTTCGGGACAGGGTATAGGATTCGCATCTCCTTCCCTTCATCAGCGGGGCCAGGACACACGTGGTTCAACTCACACCCCGTCGGAGGAGATCCCAACCTGTACAGCTTTCAAACTTGGGCGAGGATGGTGCTTGAAAGAGGCATGGTCCACCCGCGTGACGCTGAGGCTTGGCGCACAGCGTTCGTGGACGTAGAGGGCGGTGGCCAAGGCCAGCTGGTTGTATCATCGGCCGACGAGACCTGGCGAGTGATCCTCTGCTGGGCATCAGCTGGCAGGAGGATCGACGTCGACTCCCAGGGCATTCCGTTCTCTCTTTTGAGCCTCCAGGTCCGATCTGGTGTCGACTCACAGAGCCCCCTTTTCAGACAGCTTAACATAGCGACCTTCGGGCACAGAGTTGTGCGATATACCCCCATGACCGCGTTCGGCAAAAAATGGCAAGAACAGCTTCCTGGCGCCTGTCTTGCTGTCCTCGTCGCCGACACTTGGCGTGACAGTCAAGTCGATCTGCTAGCACGGGAGAGGAAGAGGTTCGGATTTCGTGATGTAGACCCCACGGGTGCGTTTACGAGCTCATGTGGTGGTGGTCGGCCAAAAAAAGGTGCGCCCGCACAAAACAAGAACGCTCTCGACGGTGGGAACTACTTTCGCAACCTGTATTCGATCCTGTTGGAGCGAGACATCGGCGAAACAGAGTTCGACAAATGGGTTTCGGGGGATACAGAACCACCCGCCTTGACACTACGCCATCTCGAAAAGTGGCTCTCTATGACCAAAGCCGGCGTGGTGGTGTGGTCACACCGGGGCACGGGTGCCAATATTCTTGGACCATCCGAGGGGAAAACTAGTCTCCGGCCCCCTACATTACACGTTGGCGTTCGTGAGGGACATGTGTACCGGCTTGTGCTCGAGGGTCGTTGGAGAGACAGGTTTGGTTCGTCTCTAGACGTGGCAGTCGAGCACAGAGTACGAACGTACCGAAAATTCCGCCGAATATCTGAGATGACCGAGGAAGAAGAGGAGCCCGATGTGACTGGTATTGGCACCAAGACCTTCTCGTGTGTCGCTGACATTGTGAGTGATATCATGGCCATCAAACAAACAGGTGGGGGGCACAACCGACAAGCAGTGGAAAAAAAGCGGAAGCATGGGAGGAAGGTATCAGAATGCAAGACGTGGTACGCGCCTCCAGGAACGGCCCTCGACGAACTCATGCTCCACCTACACCTCGCTGGGGTCTCTTGCAAGGGAAAACTCACGAACTACAGTCGCTGGGATTCACTGTCCTTGCCAGCGCAGGGCATAATCATCCGAACCTGGTGCAGCGCGAGCATGGGTAGGCTCGATCCCGACGACTTCGAGCCCGACCAGGCAACACGATTGATCGAGCTGCATAGTGCCCTGGGTCTCAAGTTTTACCGCGGGGTATTGGATTTTCGAGTATCGAGCCAGTACAGCCAGTCTCTGCTCGCCCTCCTTGGAGTATGCTGGCGGGGGCCGATCGTCGGGGCAGAGGACGCGTCCGGGAGTTGCTACGGGAGGGAAGACTGGCAATGTGACATCAACGGGGCCCACACGGCCGCCCTCATGAACATGGAGACGGTGCCCGTTTTCGGCCACATGGATGAGGTGGAGGAGTTCGATGGCCACAACATCGAGGATTGGACGCTATACATCATCAAGCTGGACGCGCTCGGTGAGCCAGACGTATTCCTTAACGCGGATGTCACGCCAGTCTTCGGCCGAAACTACAAGCGTTACCTCGACCTCATCGACAACGCGCCTCGCCATAGAGTCACCCACTTCGTGCGACCATCTAGAACGGTCAGCAAGTGCCACATATCCAAGCTTGTGAGAGACCTGCTCGCGCATGAGCTGGGTGATCCCCTCCTCGAGGATGCCGACTGTGCACGCCGATTCAAAAAAGGAATATTCGTGCGGGCCAGCGGTATGTTGCAGCAGAGATACGCGGACAGGATAGATGCCGTCATGGTTACGAGCACTGACGAGGCTTCGGCTGTGGGTGGAAAAATTGTCCCTGTCCTGTGCGAAGTCGATCGCGTCAAGGCCGAGCTTCGTACGGGACAAGGGGACCTTGGCATCGACTCACTTCACACCGGTGATGCATACCTTTGTTTCGACGCAGAACGGACCTGGTACAGAGATGGCTTCTGGGCGTTAGGTGCGNCTGACGAGGCTTCCGCTGTGGGCGGCAAAATCGTGCCTGTCCTGTGTGAAGTCGATCGCGTCAAGGCCGAGCTTCGGACGGGACAAGGGGCCCTTGGTATCGAGTCACTTCGCACCGGTGATGCATACCTTTGTTTCGAGGCAGAACGGACCTGGTATAGAGATGGCTTCTGGGCGTTAGGAACCCTCATCCTAGACGAAACTCGATTGCGGGTGTTGGAGGCGAGGAACGCTCTCGAATCATTCGGCGCGTCCGACTTTAGCTACCAGTGTGACGCAGTATTCTTCAGGGGATCTTCGTCGGTACAAGACAAGATGAGACTCCGCTTCGATCATTTGTTTAGCGGCGACGAAAAAACTCCCGGCACTCTCAAGTTTGAACCGGCTTTGAAGAATCCGCTAACTGGAGAGAGCAGGGTGTTCGAAGGCATCGTGGTCAAGCTATCGCTAGATGCGTTACCTCCGGCCATGAGGAAAATTCCCTGCCCACTAAAACCCCCGTTTTTAGTGGTCCCGCTGTGGGATGGCATCGGGACACGCTTCAATTCGATGGAAGGCGCTCACGATGCCTGGCGTCGTCTCGGCAAGCACACCAAGCGCGATCTGTGGCCGGAAATATGCGAGGCGGAGTCACCATCGAAACTGGAATGTTTGTTCCGCGGCATGTTGTCTCCGCAAGGTTCAAGGATCGCCTGCGCTGTGACCGGAGAGCATGGAGGGACCGGGAAAAGTTACTGCACTATACGCGCTGCTACGGCCACATTTGAAACAGGACTAGTCTTGACCCCCACCAATAGCCTGCGCACGTCCTACACAAATCTTCCATCCGGGTGGAGTGTAAAGACCGCTGACCACCAGCTCGGATTCTACCTGAGTGATGACTCTTAAGTGAGGAAGACGGCGGGATCGATACGAACGCTCAAGGTCGACGTCATCATCATCGAAGAGGCTGCTTATATGCCTCTCCGGACCCTAAGCATGGTCATGGCTGCCGCATACGGCAGCGGTACCCACGTGATCGGGACGTACGACGTGCATCAACTCCAGCCCGTTTGCGATAGCAGCGGCATGTCGATTAGCAGGGACAACGTCGACAGGAAGGTCATCCTCGAGAAAGCCTTCCCCATGTGCTTCCATGTCTTCGCGCGCAAGCGAGACAAAACTATCGAAGACCAGGTGGAGATGGATGACGGCCTCTTGCACATTCTGGCCGCAGGGAACGACAGTCACGAGGCGCAGACTCGAGCCATCGAGAGGTTTGGTGGGAGGTGTCACTTTAACCCAAGCCCTTCAGATTTTCACCTCGCTTACACTAGAGATTGCGCTCGGTTCCATGCCTTCCGAGGATTGTTGGGGTGCAACGAACTCGGTGGCTGGGATTCGCTCGGGCACGCAACGCTTGTCGGCGCACAATATCGGGACCTTGGAAAGTCGGGCAAGATACACAAGAATCACACCTACAGTATCACCCGATCCTCGGCAGATGAGGTCGTTGTCGCAAGCGCATTTGACGGTGCCGTCAGCTTGGAGGAAACTTCACTCTGTCGAGTGGAGGCAGAAAATTTGTTCGACCCCCCAGGAGCATGTACCGTGCACGCCGTCCAAGGCCGCACAGTGGAAGGGAGGTTGATCATACATCAGGCCCGGCACTTTCATGCTGACGTCCACTGGCTGTACACGGCTGTAAGTCGAGCGACCGGACCCTCGAACGTGATGGTCATCGAAGACATTCACCGCAGCGAGAGCAACATGTCTGACCTAGAGAGGATTTCGTGGGTTTATCGGAAGATTTCAAGCTACATCTATGCCGACGTTACGGCCGGCCGTCTTGGACCAGACGAGGGTATGCAGCATAGGGAAGCTCTTGCCGAAGAGCTCCTGAACTCGTACGGAGGTAGATGCAGCCTTTGCTCATGTGAGCTTGTCTGGGCCGTTTACAGCGAACGCCAACCGACTCTCGACCGCCTTGACTGCTCTTTGCCTCACACTGTCGACAATGTGGATGTCAAGTGCCTGAGATGCAATCGCGCTCGTGGTAGCCTGGGGAGAGGGCGCACAAAAAAGAAAAAGGTAGATGATAGTGGCAAGGAGGAGAAGCCCCATCATTAACAAAGTGCAGGAAATAATGTGTGTGTTTGTTAATACAGTAGTAGTATTCGACATGGACCAAAAGATATCAATGTGCGCCAAATGGCTGGAAGAGCACGAGAATCCAAGCGATGTTCTTGATGCTCTGAGGAAGCTGCACCCTGGCTCCTCCTTAAACAAGAACGTCAGAAGGGTCCGGGAAGTTTGGATGCAAACATTCGGCGCCCGACACAATGCAGGTCCCGTCAAAACAGAAATCCGCCAATTGCTCGTCCTTATCAAGAAAAGGTCATCCACGGCAAAGAAGACGAAGGGGCGGAAGGGATACCTGAAAGAGCTACAGACGGCCTGGGATCGCGTTGTGTCATTCGGGAAATTAGACCTTCCCGGAAAGTGGTCGGGCCGGCGCGCGATACACTCGCGGAAGGTGTCGTTCACTGGACTCGCCGATATTGACGACCTCCTTAGGAAGGTGCGCTTGCTACCGCCCTACGTCTCCCGGTTAGAGCTCACGCCGGAGGAGAAGAGCATTCCGAGAATAAAACGCCGGGAGTCCTTGGAGGTCAAGTGCAGACGTGGACTAACGGTGCACGCGAGTGATCTGATCGACACCATGGAATCCATCATCAGATACGCACGCCCGAATTACTTTGAACTTGCTAGCGCCTTGTCGTTTGTGTCCGGCAGGGGTCTAGCGGAGCTTGCCGGGAATGCTGACTTTAAACCAGGCACGCGTGGCCCCTACGAGGCAGAGGTTAAGGTGGGAACTGTGGCCCGGGTCCTGTTGTTGTGCGAGTACGACCACTTCATCGAAGGTCTCAAAAAGTTGCGGAGCATGAAAGACACCTCCTGTCTCACGGCCGCAGAGATAAATCAACGTTACAGCAAGTCAGCCAACATTGCCGCTAGGAAACTATTGCCGACGGATGGTGATCGACGCGTGTTTGGTGATCTAAAGGTTTTACATGCCGCGATTTCCTATCGGGTATTCAAAGGACACGATTTGGATTTGGTAGGGTGGGTCGGGGTCGTTGTCGGTCATTTATCGCCAGCGTTGCAGCGTAAGAGTTCAGTCGTTAGGGTAGAGGGGATTGAAGACCGTCATTGCAGGCAGTGGGGGGATTATCGTACGAGGGAGGGGGGTAGAATTGACACGACGAATTGAATCGTGTTACAATATTAGAAATTAAAGAATCTGAAATTAAATATACAATGTTTGCATAAATAAAAACTCGTGGGCCAGACAGGACGCGAACGACTAGTGTGGGTTTGATAGCTTTCCAGCAACATTGTGGCGCACCCAAAAGCACGCAGGTATAATGCTGACAACGGACAAAGCTTCCTTCCGCTTCTGAGTGTGTGTGAGGGTCTCCGCACCGTGTCACAACGTTGTGTCTGATCGCGTTCTCACGTTTGGAGACCAAACGAAATTATTGTGCGAGCAGCCACTAGCGAGAAGACACAGACAGTCGGACACAGGAACAAAACGACAGAAACACGAAGCACAAACGTAGTTGGTTGTGCAAGTCTGCTCATTGCTCCCTCGCGCCCGCCATCTCGAACCGCTTTTGCAACGCTTCAATGAGTATACATATACAACGTCTTGCCTTCTCAACGTCCGAGGTACGTACGCGTCAACATCGGCCAATCTCCACCAACGACAAAATTCAAAAGAGCTCACACTTCCCGCTAATGATACATCAGCCCACCAATCTCCCATCCCGTTCTACGGTTGTGATGTTGTGTGGATCGGGGAATTTGCTACACGGAGAGGGAATGTTGATACCATGATTGCCTTTGATCCAATCAAAGCCAAATGCAGTGGCACTGTTTTCCGAATGTTTCACTGTTGCCCTCCAGAACAAGACAAACCTACAAGTTGAACGCACCGAACAAAATTTGATCAACGGCTACCGATCGCGCGCCTATCGAAATGGTCGAAATCCAACCGTAAAACCACCAATAATCCAAGACAAATCACATTCAATCGGGGGGTGATCGTCAAACTACCTCTGATTGATGATATATACATGCACTGAATCATCTGCTGATGTGACAAAAATCCATGTGATGGAACAACAACGATGATAACGTAACAACTGTCTCTGTCCCTCCACGCCACCTTGGGATGAAAAAAAGCCGCGGTGGATGACCGCATCACACATACATACCCAACATCCTACGGCAACACACACATAAATACCGACACCAGTGTTTTTTTTTTTCATGAATTGGTATCGGCACTTATCAGTCGAATGGCTGTGTCTGCTCGAGAAGAGGCCTACACTGGTGCCTCCTTCAAAATCTTCGCCAAGGGACATACCGCGTCGTCTTCGATTCTCACGACGCAATCAAATATGGAACTACACAGAGGACTATCTTACATTCCTGGAATGCAGCATTTACACGGTTGAAACGCCCTGCTTCAGCGCCCGATTCCGGGCCCTGCTCTTCTGTGGGGCGTTGTTGTGGCGTTGGTTGTGCGATATCTTTTGCACGACCCGACCGGTCGAGACGTACGGAAGCGCCCATGAGCACAGCCGCCACGATCCGTTGACCTTCTCGACGGGAACAGTCCCTCCGATCTGGCAAGTGGGGTGCTTCCCGCCGGGGTTGTTGGTGTTGTGGGGGGGCAGGATAAGGCAGCCGTCTTCGTCAAGCTGCCAAGAGACTCTGTCCGTCTTCGTCACTCCCACCTCTTCGAATATGGGGGTTTTGCACCCGTCCGAGGTGATTGGCCCGTTCCCGTACCCGTCTTCACCGGCAAACAGTTGCCTGAGCTTCTCGGAGAGAGCCACGCCGTCTGCCCCGATGCCGAAGCAGAAGCCATGCGCTTTCGCGGGATTGGGCGCGCCGGGGATGGGCTTGCGCATTTTCGCCGCCGCACCGTTGCTGGGGGCGCCCCCCACCTGGTTCGCCCCAGTTCCTTTGGTTGCGCCTTTTGAAGCATTGACGACAATAATATCCGACGGGAAGAAATAGTCATATATGTGATCAACCTATTGCGACGCCTGGGATCACATACACAAAACGTAGGCACACGAAAGTGACTACACGTCAAAGACACACGAGCGATCGACCTGGACGCGGGGGCGGGTCGGAATGGAACGGGTGCAGAGAATGAAACAGCAACAAAACAGAAACGCCTGCAACGGACACGACGGGCGGGGGAATAGGCTCAATCCAACCATGCAGCAGTTGCTCGCTCTTAATGCATTGCGTTCTGTTCGATCGACTGTCAAATTTTCATTCAAAAAAAGTCAAAAAGCGCGCTTTGGCGGCATTATAATTTACTCCACGAGAAACTTCATTCAACGGGTCAGACGCACGCCGTGGTATCGATGCATTCCGCTCATGAGGGAGCGGGGATGCTTTGGTTGCGTTGGGTGCCTCTCACACCAGGGAAAAAACGAAAACAATATGTTCACAGCTTACCACCGACGGAGGCGTTCGACTGGTGGGCGTGCCCGACACAGGTGCACTCCTCACCACCCTTCTTGCATGCGCAGTTGCCGACGTTGCAGGAGGTCGCTGAAACAGATCATCATGACGAGCAAAGCAGAGGTCACGACAATGTCATTCAACGGGTCACTTGCACGAACACGCTATCGACGTATCAAATGCAAACGGGAGCGGAAATGCTTTGGCTGCCTTGGGTGCGGGGCACACGAGGGGGGCTTTTCACATGGGACGAAACGGGAACAAAATGGGTAGTCACCCAACCACAACAACGGCAACAACAACGACAGACGTGGTCGTCGATATCCCTCCAGCTCACCACCCCTCGCTTGGTCTCTCCGAGCCGTCTCGGTGAGCTTGCGCATCTTGGTCGCGTGTTCAAGGTCCTCCTTCGCCGCTGCTGCTGCTTCCTTGGTGACGGCAGCGTCCAAGGTTGCAGAAGCGGCCGCCTCTCGCGCCATCGCGCCCGCCACGGTCTCGCCTGCGGTGAGGCCGAAGTTGCTCTTGGGGCCGTTGGCTTTGCCTATGATCGATCGCACGCGTACGTACACACAGCAAGAGTTCGGCAAAACGGGGGGCGGTTGTGCCTCCATGAGGATTCCCTATCGCCGACGGGAGGTGTATGTGCACATGAGTCACAAGGGAAGCAACTCGATTGCGAGGGCAGCAACAATAAAGACAACAACCACCAAGAGATGTTGACCGACACGCAGCACGTTTCTCTCTCACCCCCGTCGATTCTGTTCTGGGTGGTGACAGGACCGAGAGGTACGGCTTTAGGATCGAGCCCCACCAACAAAGCAAAATACTGGATCACTCTCTTTCTACTCTCTCCCATGTAGTCTAGTGCGGCGGTTCAACGGCACGCTGCCAGCAATCAATCTCTATTTTCCCACATGACAACGAACAACGGTGTTTATCGACCGTGTGGATGACCGGGATGACCCTACCGCGCCAAACACAGACCATGGTTTTCCCCGGCAATCATTGACTGGCCGGGGAGGACGGGGGTTTGGTAGAAGCTCACGTGCTGGACTGCGTTTGTGGCTCGATACGATTGTGGCACGTACATGTGGTCGGCTGTTCTCGCTAGTACGATCATCAATCAGTCATCCATGGCCAAAATTCAAAAATCTTGAATTTCGCCGACAGGCGACTTCTCGACCGTGGGTCACGTCATCGGACGACAACGGAATTTTCGCCTTTCTTTGGAACGTTCCTTTAAAAAAATTGACCAATGAGAAACTGCGGGCACCTTTCCCCTCGGAGGTCGCTTGCGTAATATTTTGCCGCCGCTAGGACGGTTGCAACGGCAGGGCCTAGAATACACACATCACGGCATTGGACGCAAGCACCCACTCGGCCGATCCAGTGCTTCCGATATCGCCATTATCCGGCGTCTCTCGAGTCACCTGGGGGTCGTAGCTAGCAACAAAGAGTGAATGGTTGCGGAGAGGGTAAACATACGGGAAATGATTCGGTTGTAAAGGGGAGCGCTGGTCTTTCGATGTCAAACTGGGAGGCGAATCACGTCATCAATCATCAGGCGTCATTCGGACGACACGTGATTGATACAGGACGGAGAAACGAGGAGGGGGACCACTAACAACACCTTTCCTTGACAACTTTTGGAGTATGGTCACAAGCTGTCCGGTGGAAGGAAATGGAGCGTGTGCCAAAACGTTTACTTCAGGCATGGAGGGTGGATTGCTAGAATGTACCCTTCCTCGACAAAATCTTCGCATAAAAAAATGTAACAAACAACAATTCGATAACCTGAAAACGAGAGTAATTTTTGCATACACTCTCACCCGTAAATCCACATGCGCGCTGTCAAAATACCACTGGGGTCATCATGAGTTGGCCTGCACCGAACATGACGACGATGGTGGACATCCACAGTCGCTCGCTGTCCAGCAACAACACCATTCCAAAGTAGCATAGGCCGATAACGGCGTGGATATTCACGATGATACAAGCTCATCAACGACATTTCGCTACCGAGGGAGTGGATGCCGCGATAAGCTGTCTGTGATGTTTGACCAGTTCATAGAAGGGACGAGGGGGATACATTCACCTTGTTTCTTGGCACGTAAATGTGATGTAGATCAGGTGAGCGGAGCGGTTCCAGGTTAACACAATCAATCTAGCAAGCTTGCTACTTTGGCAAACACACAACACACACGTAGATGTCACAATTCCGAGTGTATTCCCACTGTGCTCCATTCAGTGGTGAGTGATAGTGTTGCGAGGATACCCGCGGCAAGTGAGTTGACACTGGGGGGTGCGGTGGGACCATGCGGGTTTGGCGGTATAGAGAGGTTTCTTCATCCTCTTAGTCGAGCCCACAACTCTGAGCTCATCGATTAGTCCAAGCCCTACCTCCTGCGGTCAGCTTGTTGTGCAAAAATGTAGGGCAGGCAGTGCACGTTGGACTCAATCCTGAGAGAAGGGTGTCTGGGGGATTCTCGACCGAACACACACGGAATGGGAGGGTAACGAAGAGGAGAGTAGAGTTTACCAATTAATCCGAGAGCCAAAGCGCATGCAATGCGGCCTCAGGGGTGCGATGGTGTGGAACAATGTTCAAAGCATCTGACATCTGAAGTGAGCTATGGACATCACCACAATTCTATTCCCGATAATTTCCGCAAGGGGGGGGGGGGCTCCTACCTGCCATCATGACC